GCTTCGTTTGGTGTTGTCTGGGAACAAGCCCGCGAGCGTGCGCTGGTGGAAAGTGAAAGAAAGGGAGAGAGAGAGAGAGAGAGAGGACGGGAAAACGAGCGGGAAAGGCATCGCACATCTATCCAGAGATAGAGGAATAACAAGATAATGAGAGGGAGCGAGGGCATCAAGCGTGGTGGGCCAGTTCTGCTGTGCGGCCAGTCTGTCACGTGGAGTCCACGCAGTGTATCGTTGTTCGGCAGGTTTATCAGTGCGGCCCACACGGGTATCTCCACTGCTCTGCTGGCTCGTACAGCGAGTCAGAGGCAACGCCACTACCCTCAGCAAAATTAACCTTGCACATGTCATGCAGTTTCTTGGTCGATGTGATGTCCTGAGCTTGGGTGACATTCTGCGTGAGGTATTTTTTGGCGCCGCCTCTCCAACGTCGGTCATCGTGGAGCTTCCGAGTCGCACCCGCCCAGGCCGCGTTCTGAGCGGCTTCGACATTGAAGGCGGCGTCATTGAATGAGTAAAAAGGGGCGATGCTGAAGCGGCGCGTCAACCACATTTGAGGTTAGTTTTCCTGAGGGTTGCAGGGGAGGGGGATAGGCTCAGGCCGGGATGCATGGACCTTCAATCGCCTATTCATTCCCGATCGGGGCCGCCCGCTAGCCAACCCCCGCCCAGGAACGTCCGGAGTCACCATCGAGGGCATATCTGCGATCTGTCGGCGATGTATCGAAGCACTCCTGCCGCCCTTGTGGATCCCTCTTGAGCCACAGCTCGTGCTGCTCTTCCGCGCCCTCTGCTCTGCCCTTACGCGTAAAATGCCCCTCGGAGTCAGCTGCGGCTCTCGAGGTACGAGTGGTACTCGAAGACGAAGAGCGCAGCCTACTTGAAGAATTGGGTGCTCAACCTGAAGCTCACTTTGCGTGTGGAGGACCCCTGTGTTCTCGGCAACGACGCCAGAGCAGTGCCGCGATTGGCTTCGTGTGTGTATGTGTGTGGTTTTGCTTTCCGTCTTGCTCACGCTTCTCCTTTCGCTCCTAACCATCCTGCGGCTACCCTTTCTCGTCCTCCTGATCATCCTGCTCTTCCTGCTGCTGCACCTTTTCATCCTCCTCCATCTTGCCCCTTCCGCTCCCTCGTGTTCCTCTTCCTGCTCGTTCAATGTGTGTTCAGCCTGCCGCTCATGCTGCCCCTGCTCCGAGGAGGAGCGGAGGAGGAGGAGGAGGAGGAGAAGGACGAGGAGGAGGAGGAGAGGGCGAGGGCAAGGGCGGTGGCGGGGAGTAGGAGGGAGAGGACAGGGGAGGAGGAGCGGGCGAGGACGAGGTGCAAGCGAGAGGAGGAGGCGGAGGAGGAGGAGGAGGAAGAGGAGGCGCGAGGAGGAAGAGGAGGCGCGAGGAGGAAGGGGAGGAGGAACTGGAGGAGGAGGAGGAGGAGCAGGACGAGGAGGAGGAGGAGGAGGAGGAGGAGGAGGAGGGGAGGAGGAGGAGGAGGAGGAGGAGGAGGAGGAGGAGGAGGACTAGGAAGGAGACGAGGAGGGGCGAGGAGGAGAGCGCGGGGAGGGAGACGAGGAGGCGGGGGCGCCGTTGCAGGATCTCCAGCCCGGCGAGTGGTTCACGAAGCAGTGGCTGCGGGGGGGGGGGTCGCCATGAAGTGCAGTGGGGGCCCATGCCAAGAAACACCCGGCTTGCCTCCAGGGTGCCTTTGGTCTCTTTGGTTTCGATGGTTTCGCCATGGAAAGCGTGACGTTCCCACACCGAAAATCGATGGACGTCCTGGGGTCTCAGGGTTGGGTTTCTCGTGGAAGGTTTCTTGTGGTCGGCCCCACTCTGTAGAGGAGTCGTAAGTCGAGGAACAAAACATTGCGCAAACATAATTTGATCAAGGGGCTTGTGCCATGTCGCGGGCCTCCAGACGAAGTGATGAGGTCCTCTGAAACTGCCTTGCTATGTTTTGTTGTTTGCGAGGCTGCAGCACGGAGCACAAGAACACCCCACTTCTAGATATGTCCAAGACCCCTCTCCTCTCCGAAAAGACGCTAAAGCCATGACAACACACGCACACATGGATATACATCTATGCCGCGCTGCCGGGGTAGGATAACGCTAAACCTGATGTCCCGCATGCCGAGTTGAATATGGTGAGGAAAACGCCCAGGGCATATTTCAGATGAACGACGGTGTTGAACCGACGACAAGAAACAAACATCACACACATTAGGTTATCTGAGCTCCTCGCGGATTTCTTGGATTGGCGTCGGGCCCCCCTGGCGGCGCCTCCGGCGCCACCCCTGGCGCGCTCCACGCGCCAGGGAGAGGGGGTCCAGCAACGATTAAGAAGGCCGGGCAGTTCTCCGAAAAGTGCAGTTTTTTTTTTAATTCTATGCTTCCCGACTGAGGGAGGCAAGCGCGTCCTGAGGGTACTTTTTTGTGCGTTGGCCTCCCTGGGCCCTCACGGGTCCCGGGCTGCCACGGCATGGCCCAGGGCAGAAGAGGTGGTCTCGTGGAAGAGCCCCGGCATCCAAGAACCCGTTCTCTCGCGGGAGCCTTGAGACGGGGGTCAATGCGAACGGGGGTCAGCCAGAGCGCCCGATCTTGCAGGATCCTGCAGGGCCAGGGTCGCATTGACCCGGGTTTGGGTGCAGGATCCCGCAGGATCCTGCAGGATTCTTCGCATTGGCCCAGGTTTGGGTGCAGGATCTTGCAGGAGCTTGCAGGAGTCTGCAGGTTTGACTGACCCGGGTCTGGATTGACCCGGGTCAGAAGATCCCCGACTCTCATGCCATGGGTGCCATGGGGGACGGTGATAGGGGTGCTGCGGCCGATCAGGGCCGCGGCGGGCCCTCCAGCGATTCCAAAATGCGTGATCATGAATTTTCGGAGGTCCGCGTGGACCTCCGAAAATGTGCGTACCTGTGTTTAGCTCGTCTAATGGGGTGCCGTGGCCGACCGGGGCCGCGGCGGACCCGGCTCCTGCTCATGGTTGTCGTTGTTGTTGTTGCTGTTGTTGGTGGTGGCGATGTTGTTGTTGAGTTCTCAGTAAAACAAATAACGATTGTTGATCCCCTCCAGTAACCGTTTTATTGTTCACTTATAGTTCTTCTCCCGGGGCTCGCACCTTGTCTTTTACAAGGGAAAGCGAGGTGTCACCAAACTCGGTTGTTAGGCCCCGAACTACTACAACAACAATCAGTTTAAGGCTGTGCGCTCTTATCTTATCTGCTCGAGTGCCATTCATTGTGTATTTCCCAAACCCTCGATACCCGCCCTCTTCGTCTTCGATCGTAACTCTTTTGGGGGCGGTATACCTTTCTTCAGTGAAGGCCAGGCCCACGCAAGCGGCGGGGCGGCCGCGGACCGTCGGCCTTGCCAGCGGCAGCGCTGACCGACGGCAACCCGACCCCAAGAGGGATGGACAGGGGACCAGCCGCGACGACGACGACGACGACGACGGCGATGACGACGACGACGACGACGACGAGCGAAAGCGAGAGCGAGAACGAGAGCGACAGCGGGGCCGCGAGTGGCAGGAAAGGAGCCACGACGGGCGACAGCGGGGCCACGGAGGGCATGCGTATGGGGCCACGAATGGCGCGAACGAGCGGGGGCCACGAAGGGAAGATATCGAGGGGCCACGGAGGGCAGGAAGGGGCCATTGAGGGTAGCAGCGAGGCCACGTAGGACACCGACGGGGCCGCAAAAGGCGACAGCGGGGGCGCGAAAGGCATGCATGCGGGGCCACGACGGGCGCGAGCGACTAGTGGCCACGACGGGCATGCGTATGTTGGGCCGCAGAGGGCAGCGATTGGGCCGCGAAGGGGCGCAACGGGGCCACGAAGGGCAGCGAGAGGGCCACGAAGGGTTGCAACGGGGCCACGAAGGGCAGCGCGGGGGCCACGAAGGGTTGCAACGGGACCGCGAAGGGCAGCGAAGGGGGCCACGACGGGCTGCAACGGGGCCACGAAGGGCTGCAACGAGGCCACGAAGGGAAGCGAGGGGGCCACGAAGGGTTGCAACGAGGCCACGAAGGACAGCGAGGGGGCCGCGAAGGGCTGCAACGGGACCGCGAAGGGCAGCGAGGGGGCCACGACGGGCTGCAACGGGGTCGCGTAGGGCAGCGAGGGGGCCGCGAAGGGTTGCAACGGGTCCACGAAGGGGAGCGAGGGGGCCACGAAGGGCTCCAGCGGGGCCACGACGGACAGCGATATCCCGATTCCTACGTAAGCTGCGAAGGAATCTTAAGCATGAGCCCGACTCCTGGGTGCTTGAGTGTCGGGAGCGCGGCGCTTCAGCAATTGCGAGGAATTCCAACGCAAGAGCGCGATTCTTGAGTAACATGCAAGCGAGTCACCAGCGAGAGCGCCTTTCCAGGGCGCCGACGGAACGGTTCCGGAATACATTGGAAGGACGTACCAAACGAGAGCGCGACTCCTGAGTAAAGCGCGAGGAAGTCTCAGGCGGGAGCGGGGTCCTGCAATCCGGGGGCCAACGCCACAGTTTGAGCCGAGTGCATTCCTTGATGAAAAACAGGCTGCTAGCCCCGGGGGACACATTTCAATTGAAGACAGAATGGTCACCGGATGGGGTGGGTAAGCAGTAATTATTTATCAGTAGTGAGAGTTCAACAACGGATCCCGCCTGAGACTTCCTAACAGGTTATTATTGAATCGCGCTCTCGCGCGGGACTTCCTCACAAAGCATGCAGGAGTCCCGCTCTCGCGTGGGTCTTCCTCGTAATGTAATCAGGCGCCGCGCCGTCGACACTCAGGAATCAAGCTTTCGCCTGGGCCTTTACTTTTGTTTTATACGGAGATCGCGCTATCGTTCGAGCTGTTCTTGCGATTCATGCAGCACTTACGCTTCAGCAACACACCCTCTCGACCTGTCCGCTTGGGCCCGCCTTCCCGACCCGCCTATCGGGGTCTACCCGCCCGATTTGCCCGTCTGGTTATGCCGCGTATTTTCTGCTCTTGGCCCCATTCCTGGTAAGCCCGCGTTGCATCCGAACCCCCGTCTTTTTATTTCATTTGCTTCAGGGCGGGTGGGGATGATATGCCACCAGAAGGGGTTCGATCGAAGACGAAGGGGGCGGGTACCGAAAGCGATATGCGTGTTGAATGGCACGCGAACAGGTAAGATCGAACAGTTTTACACTGATTGTTGTTGTTGTTGCTCTTGCTGTTGTGGTGGATGTTTGCCTTGCTGTTGTTGGTGGTCTTGATGATGTGATTGAATTTTCATTTCTGAAGATTAATCCTTGTTGTTCCCCCTTCCTCATGTAACCCGTGCGTTTCTCGAATGAAGTGGCTCTCCGGGGACTCGCACCCCGGTTTGCACAATGCAAACCGAGGTCTCACCAACAAACTGCGCCCCAAACCCTCGGTTTACACAACAAAAACAGCAACAACAACACCAACGGCATTCGCCTGATATCCCCGCACAAGTTACTCCCACATCGCGCTCTCGCGCGGGAGTTCCTCACAATGTATGCAGGAATCGCGTTTTCACGCGGGACCCCTCTCAATGTATTCAGACGCCGCGCCCTCGACACTCAGGAGTCACGCTCGCGTCGTGTATTCCCACACGATGTATTTGGGAATCGCGCTATCACTCGAGTATTCCCCGGGTGACGATGGGGATGATGCTGACGATGATTGTGATGACGATGATGAAGATGATGTTGTTGATGCTGATGATGGTGATGGTGATGGTGATGGCGATGATGGTGATGTTCACGGTGGTGGTGATGTTGATCATGGTGGCGATAATAAAATGATGATTGTGTTTGTGAGAATGGTGATGCTGATGGTGCTGCTGGTGCTGGTTACGATTCTGGTGGCGATGAAGGTGGTTGTGATGATGCAGAGAAAATCGGGTGAACATAATGAGGAGGAGGAGGGGGGAGGGGAAATACGAGATATGCAGTTTCATGGGGCACATTTCGTCTTTCATTGTGTGTAGAGCTCTCATGGAGCTCGTGTGGGTCCTCACCAGGATGTCTTGCTTGGCCTCTGCGCCATCATGCACAATTGGTTATTAAATGGCTGACGTCAAGCCAGGAAACCGATTTGCTCGTGACGTTTACAACCATCATGGTGTACATGCGGATGGGCGAATTGGTCACCGACAAGGTGATTTTCCCCGAATGCATATGTTTTACCGCAGCATACAATTTTCTGTTCGCGGAATTTCTAGCAAGGAATCTATATGAATGCGCCACCAGCAATGAAGTTATGCCAGGGGATGTGATGTAAGGAATATTTAGTAATGCAGGTTTCTTGGGTAGTCTTTGTTGAGGAATATTTAGCCAGGAGTGCTGAGTGAGGAATCTTGAGTAAACAGTTTCCATTCGGGAGTCTTGATTGGCGGATCTTCTGTCAGGAAACTTGATTCAGGAATTGTTGGTCGGAGTTCTTGGTTGCGGAGTTACCAGTGGGGAGTACTTAGTAAGGAATATTGATAAGGAGTCTTAATGAAGGAGTCTGTAATAAAGGAATGTGTAGTAAGGAAGATGTGTTCAGGAAGTCTTTTTACCAATGAATTTATAAAGATGAACCGCTTCAATGGCTTCTGGTAAATAGTATGGACTAAAGAATCTTCTGAAAATCGAGTGTTCCCCAATCAGTGC